ATTACCCAATTATGTGAATATTTGTACAAAAAGTAGCAATTTTAAATGAGACTTAGGTGTGAAACTCTGAAACTCAAGAAGTGTATTACCCAATTGGTTCTATCCTTGATGTTGCTCACTGAGACTAATTGTATCACGGCTTTTCACCTAGTCAGGGGCATTCAAAACTTTGAAGAAAGCCAAAAAATCTTGTGCCTCCAATTTCCTTTAAGATTGGGTTTTCAGTATTTGACTTCATCATTTATCTCTCTCTGATATATGGAATTTGTCGAAAACCGGATTGACACGTAGATTTCATCACTTTGATATATGCTGATATTCAAATTTTATGGAAACCAGAGGAAGTGTAAATTTTTATATCCCTTATATCTTGATTTAAAACTCTGTTCAGATTGGGTCAACAAGTGGATTCAACTCTCTGTTCAAGCTAATTTGACATTGGTCAAGTGGAGACTATGTCGAAATTTTGTCTCAAGGGACTTATGAAACTCACAATCTCCTTTACTGACTACTTTGGTAGAAAAAGTATTGCCTGTGAAAAGGACAATATCATCCACCACCATTTTGTAAAGCACTAAACAAGCTCCTCTTAGGAGTCATTTCTGGTGGCTCTAGAGTCCACCCACCATTCTATAATTGGCCCCACTAGATTTACCTCGGAGATCATAGCAATTAGTTTTTTCTTTGGTCACATAGCTTTAGGATATTGCTTTTTCTGACGCATGTATAACTTTTGCACATGACCAGTTTTGCCCCAAAAATAGCATGTAAGCAGTTTCTTTCCTTTGTATTGAGTTCCTTTAGGCTTTGGTGCTTTATTTTCGTTCTTTTCCTCTTTTTTAATTTCTTGTGAGATAAAATTTCTGTAGAGTCTCCCCTTGACCGATGTTGGACTGAGTGTTGAAACCACATGTTAATTTAGTTCGAATAGGGTTTTGAATTGGCATATACGAGGGGTACATAAATCTACACTTCACTACGGTTTCTTAGGAATCCCAATGTTAGTTCGATCGAAGTGAAGATATCAAATAGTGAAAATCCAATTATAAGGGAATTGGAGCATGAGATTTTCTTGCCTTCTTCAAAGTATTGAATGTCCCCAAACTCGATGAAATTCCCGAGATGCCATCGGTCCTGGTGAGCACATTGCCAAGATACAAGCAATTTGGTGCTTACATTTCTTGAGTTTCTAAGTTGCACATCACAGCTTTCCATACCAATATTTTGTCAAGTCGGTAAAATGAAAATAAGCATCGACTTGATCTGAAATTGAGGTTAGTTTTTTCTCATCGTTAAATTTTTTTTCAATAAAATAAAAAATAAACTTGAGATTTCTATGGTATATATATTGCTGATAAAATAGGATTAATGGAGAATGTTCCAATGAGATATTGGTCTCAATATCACATGGATGTATGCCATGCAAATGATCATCACAGGGATATTGGACTCAGTATCAACTCAATAGTCAATATCACTCTTATGATGATTCTATTGAAAATTTCAGAAGGCTTCAAGTAGAGAGAAAAAAACACAATCATATGAGAAAGAGAATGGACCTTTTTAACTGTACAAAAAGGTGAGCAAGACATGTAGTTCATGATAAAATATATTACATGTCATGTGAAAATCAACATCCACATGTTATGTAACATAAATACGCATATTAGATATGTGTCAACCTTATTAAATGGCATGTACTAAAGAGAAGGGACCTTTTTGACTGCACAAAAAGGTGAGCCAGGCATGTATCTCATGATAAATATATTACATGTCATGTGAAAAACATCCACTTGTCATGTAACATAAATACGCATATTATTTATGTATCAACCTCATTAATTGGCATGTACTAGAACTCCCCACATAATGTGAAATAAAGTAGAGAAAACATCATGTGGTCATGAGGGACCATACTAAATAGCGTGATCTTATCCATTGATCATGACATGTCAAGATGTCCCATGACAATACAGGTCAGAATGGTCCATAATAAAATTTTCATAAATGAAGTTATTTTAGAACGCTTAATTTTGACAATTAACAGTCCTCGACCTATTTCAAAACAACTAGCCTATCTCAGAATGTATTAGGAAACACAATGCATAAGTGACAGAGTCCTACTGACTGGAACCAACATATAATGTTATGCTGAATGCTTACCAAGATAATAAGTGGACGTACATTGAACTATGTCTATTATTGATAAGATTCTCGCACACCACACATTCAGAAAGCTGTGATTTTCTAAAGGCTTGCGTGTTAAATGTCTGGTGCCAATTCCTAGTCATGAGCGCGCTAGAGAATTCCCAATCATATGAAGTTGTCTTTATAGGGGTATAGGAGTCTCAGTCTCATTAGAGATGTGTATTAGGTTGTTTTGTCTTCATTTTTGAGTAACTGCTTCCTTTGGGCATAAAGCTCTTTTATTATACAGAACTATTTATACAGAACTATTATTTTAGCCAATCGCTCCTATGTAGTATTTTAAATTATAAATTTGCTTGTGGAAGTTCCATATTTCTTTTCTGGTCATTTATTGTGTTCATTTTGTTGCCATGGAGACTTGAAACAAGTTCAAGTCCCATGCAATGATTCTGGTTTCTTTCTACTTCTAAGGCTCTCTACTCCTTGCCATCTAATGTTGGTTCACTTATGGTTCCATCAATGTATCCCTCCAAGCCTCTTAGTCATTGTAAAATTCTTGAAATGAAAGATTTTTAAGGCATAGTTGAGCTTTGATATCGGTGTCCATGGAAGTGTTAGAAGACCTTTTATCAGCTTATGGGATGAATGGTAGAGATACTCCCAGATGAATCCAATGGAATATTAATATGTCCCAAAGTATGGAGATAAAAATCCTGAGAACTGACTGAGTTGGACGCTCTGACTAACCTAATAGACAAAAATATCTCACAAAATGGTGCGGTTAAACTGTTCACTGTAAGAAAGACAGATTCAACTAGATTGTATTGACCAGCATAGATTGGTCTGATATTTCACAAACTTAACAAAAAATGTGATTTTTTTTCTGTATGGATGCCTCCTAAAATCTTGTCTCAAGCTTTCTTGATATAGGGTTTTTTAATATGAATTTGCGGTGGCTTCATCAATGAGAGATTGGAAAAGACAATTCTTCTTTGAGAATCCTATGGTTGAAGAGGATCTGCTTTTCGTCTATGAATGCTTTGATACCATGCTGAATAGAGCCCAAAGGGATAGAAGAAAAGCGAGGGAGAGATTTAGAGCAAGGGAACCTTCTATGATTGCGGGAAAACATCCCTTCCCTAATAACCTTGCATTATTACAAGTCTCTTCTTTTGTATTGGATCTACAATATTGGGACTGATGGGCTCAGAGGTGTTATATAATGACAAAATCCCCATTCACTTACAATGACTGATGCACATATTAATTACCAATATTAAACTTCTTGGATGGATTCACGTTATGCACCTAAACATCCTTTAGGTGGATCTGCCCCTGGGATAATTTATTCATGTGCTTCTGTGGTACACATATATCTTTGGCATCTTTACATGAATTTTCTTATGTGAGCTTTGTGCCTTTTATCTATGTGATTTTGCACTTTGGTATGTCATATTCTAATATGCTTGCCTCTTATACCTTTCTTAATCTCCCATGCTACCAAATTATTGTGGCATTATCTTGAGAAATTCCCAAATGAAACACAAATGAATTTGACTCATGCCGAGAATGTGCATCATTGGCTATAGGTATATTTTTTTGCTTTTTCTCTTTGTAAGTAACCGTTCATCAAGTCAAAGATGTATATAATTTTTATTCAGTTACATGAAAAAAGTATATGTCAAAATCATCCTTGAGAGTGCAGACTGACAAAGATGTGCACCATAAATGATAATGATTAAAAAGGAGCAAGCAAGAAGAGATTAAAGTGGGAGTAAACCAAGTTAGCCATGAAGGAAGAAATCTCCTTGGTCTAGAACATCTGCTCTCATTAGCTACATAATTCAAGACGTTGGCCTCTCTAAGAACGTGATGGGACTTTCTAAGAATGTGATGGGAAGTTACACCTTCTTTTTTCGGTAAATTGTGGAAAGCAGCTGCACTTGGTGAAACTAAGGTTGGAAGGTTCTCCATAAGATCAGGTAATCTCCCTACAAAACTGTACGCTTTTTGGGGTCCATGTGATGATCTTAAGCCAACCCAAATCTACTATCGATGATCCAGTGAGAGTTCCAAGGAAGACTGTCAAGCTGGCTAAGAGGTTAGATGCTTCCACATTAGTAGAATCACAGTTTCTCACTGGTCTTAAGAATTTCTTTCCCATACTTTACAATCTCTTAAAATGCCAATGAATGCAATTGCTCCAACATTCCCAAAAAGAAATACTGTTGAAGTAAAGAGACATTATCCATGCTATTCAAAGTATGAAGTGATGATTTGACATACAGCTATCTTCTCAAGCTTATATCCTCAGGTTACCACCAGTGGAGGGAAACCCCACATAATTTTCTATGATGGTTGGTGGGATGTTTACCACCCACAAATGGCGCTTGTTATGTGATGCATGTTTATCAACAGATCTACTTTCCTATAGTGGGTCTCCTTTCAACACTAGCAATTTAGGGAAGAACCATTGAGCACCGGCAGTGAAACAAGAAATAAAGCGTAGTAGTTAAAACTTAAAAAGTAATCTGATGATGAACCTAAAGAAAATCTATGGTTAAAAAAAGTAGAAACAAGCTTTCAACACATTTTATGTAGGCAAGCAAACCTCTGAGATGAGGGGTTATATATTTTCAAACGGACCCAGCATGCGTAAGAAGGCAATAATATCTATACTGGAAGCTTGACATCTATAGCTTTTGAGTTAGTTGATTTTTATAAAGCTGCGAACTTATTATCCACTAATTTATTTGTTCATTTGCTTGATCATGTGCATACCTTTTATACAGGAAACTTGATTATTGATACATACTCTTATGTATGTCCCTTATGTTCCTATTACATCACAGGAAGTGTTGTCTTGGCATACCCTTGCTTTGGCATTTCAAACCCTTGGTGTGGTTTATGGTGATTTGGGGACAAGTCCTTTGTATGTCTTCAGCGATGTGTTCAGCAAGGTGCCCATAAATGGAGATGATGATGTCTTAGGAGCATTATCACTAGTCATGTATACAATTGCTCTTCTTCCTTTTGCGAAATATGTGTTCATAGTGCTCAAAGCTAATGACAGTGGTGAAGGTAAGGAACCAGTAAGTTTGCCTTTAAATTGCTTTGTAATGATGAAATCAACTGTCTTTGGTGTTTCATTTAATCTGAAAGAAATACCAGATATGAATTTTTTGTCTAAATTCATACATCTGACAATTGCGTACCAATATTTACCCCAAAAAAAGACAATGGGATACCAATTGATTGATTCTAGTAGAGCCTGAAATTTTGATTCTTGCTGGTGCAGGAGGCACTTTTGCCTTGTATTCCTTGATATGTCGGTATGCGAAAGTGAATCTTCTTCCAAATCGTCAGCCTGCTGATGAACATATATCAAGTTTCAAGCTAAGGCTACCCACTCCCGAGTTGGAAAGGGCCTTGAATATCAAAGAGAAATTGGAAAATAAACCTTCCTTAAAAACTCTTCTGTTGCTGTTGGTTCTTATGGGAACTTCCATGATAATTGGGGATGGTATTCTGACTCCAGCCATGTCAGGTCTCCTAAAATTTTCATTTATTTATTTGTTTATTTTATTAGCTTATGATTTTGGAAATCAATATTTATCGAAAACTTGTCAATCTCATTGAGGAACTTCATCTTTGTCTTCTTTTCTGTAGTGATGTCGGCGGTGAGTGGCTTACAAGGTGAAATTCCTGGTTTTGATGCAGGTGATCTCTCTTGTGACTTCTTGAAAATTGGTTACATTGAGTATGAAACAAATAAATACTGATTTCATATCTGCTGATTACTTGTGGTAGTTTATGTCTACGATAATCGAGTAAACCAAAATCCATTGGGGTCTTCACCATGGAATGAAATGACAGACAGTGATGGAGAAGATAATATAACCCACCTTCAGCTCATGGGCTATTCTGGCGAGCCCTGTACCCTTTCCGTCAGTGTCCATCATCTCATCGACAGGGATGACCCCAGTAGACTATTATTTTCAATAGTTTATTGAAGCATAGTATCCATTCCCTTTTCAGTATGTTTTCGATATATTTCCAATGTCTTACCAAACGGTTATTGGCAGATGCTGTCGTGATAGTCTCGATCATAATCCTTGTGCTATTATTCAGCATACAGAGGTTTGGTACAGGCAAAGTAGGTTTCACATTTGCCCCTGCATTGGCGCTATGGTTCTTTTGTCTGGGATCAATTGGAGTATACAACATAGTTAAGTATGATATCACTATTTTGAGAGCATTCAATCCAGCTTACATTTATATATTTTTCAAAAGAAACAGCAGAAAAGCATGGTCGGCTCTGGGAGGCTGCGTTTTGTGCATAACAGGTATGAATAATATAAATTTTTAGAACATAAATTGCATCTATGAAATGCAAATTTGTGCTGTGCTTTCTTCATTGCTTACAGGTTACAACCTCTTCAAGTCACCTGGATTTCTGCATCTGTATTTCAATATGCATCCTATTTATCGTTTGAAAGCTTTAATCTATGTTCTATTGGAATTGATTCTTTTAATGCATGGAACATCCTAACACTAAGTTGCATTTATGAAATGCAAATTTATGCTGTGCTTTCATTGCTTACAAGTTACAACCTCTTCAAGTCACCTGGATTTCTGCATCTGTATGTCAATGTACATCCTATTTATCGTTTGAAAGCTTTAATGTATGATCTATAGGAATTGATTCTTTTATAGGAATTGATTCTTTTAATGCATGGAATATCCTAACACTATCTTGAATAAGTGATTATATGCATACAATTTAGTACCAGCTATTAGTGCTTTACTCTCTTGTTGTCATTGAGACCTGAATGATTTAGGAGATTGAATACTGAATGATGGTTTTTCCTGATTTGTTACTATTTTTGAAGAACCTTGAAAGTTGCATGTCAGTGGGATCTAAGGTGATATTGATGGCATCTGCCATGATTTTCAGGGGCCGAAGCCATGTTTGCTGATTTGGGTCATTTTACTGTATTATCTATCCAGGCAAGTGGAATCCTTTCCAATTTCTAGTGGCCATTCAATCCATGCATGCAATTTTTAACAAAACTGTGTACACAGTTTACCACCAAGTTGAGTTTATTTGGTATTTGCAGATTGCCTTCACATGTGTGGTGTTCCCCTGTCTGCTTCTAGCTTACATGGGTCAAGCAGCATATCTCATTAAACACCCATTGTCAGCGGAGAGGATATTCTACGATTGTGTCCCAGGTGGAGCTTCAACTTTAGCCCTAAAGTATAGAGCCAGGTTATAATGCTAGTAAATTTCTATTGGTAATAGAAGAATTTACCTGGTATATGGGCTATTGTTTTAACTGTTTGTTTTATGTGTTATCATGTGAAGATGGTTTTTTCTGGCCTGTCTTCGTAATAGCCACACTTGCTGCTATGATTGCAAGTCAAGCTATGATATCGGCGACCTTCTCATGCATAAAGCAGTCTATGGCTCTTGGCTGCTTTCCTAGGTTGAAGATAGTACACACTTCCAAGAAGTTCATGGGTCAGATCTATATTCCTGTGATCAACTGGTTCTTGATGATTATGTGCATAGTTGTGGTAGCCAGTTTCAGAAACACAACTGACATTGCCAACGCATATGGCAAGTAGAATTTGATCTTTTCACGTTACTCTGGTACTTGTAGAAAAAGAAAAAAAAAAGGTTTTTCCTGGGGAAGGTATGCTGTATCCATTGGACTATGATTTTTTTACTGTAGTCCATTGGGTTGTCACCTCATATTGAAATAAGGTACTGTAATGGAGAGAGTGTCGTGCCCTTCTGAACGGGAGACACCCCACCCATTGGTGGGTCCCATGCTTCCTTGATCAGTGCTGATAATTCTAATGGACACTGATTTTCAATGATCCTTTAGATTATAGCATGCTTTCCATTTGTGTAACTATAAGATGGTTGTTCATTCTTTGTTAACTACATGCCCTGCACTCTTTTGTTCAAATCAATGCCCTGCCAGAGATCCCCACAGAAACCCCAGCCACCCTGCCTCTCCGAGAAAAGGAAACGCAAGAAATCATCACTCTTATTGTGTCCAAACTCAACTTTAGCTATCAACAGTCTCTGTCTTGATCATTTGAATTGGGATTTACTTAAGTGTTGCCTTCTTGCTTGCAGGGATAGCTGAGGTAGGTGTAATGCTTGTGAGCACAACATTGGTTACATTGGTTATGCTTCTAATATGGCAAACGAACCTATTCCTAGCCCTATGCTTCCCAATCATATTTGGGACTGTCGAGCTCATATATTTATCTGCGGTCCTAACCAAGATCAAGGAAGGTGGTTGGCTTCCCCTTGCCTTTGCATCATGCTTCCTATGCATTATGTACACCTGGAACTATGGGAGCGTACTCAAGTATCAAAGTGAAGTGCGTGATAAGATCTCTATGGACTTCATGCTCGACCTCGGCTCGACCTTAGGCACAGTCAGAGTCCCTGGTCTTGGGCTCTTGTACAATGAATTGGTTCAAGGAATTCCCTCTATATTTGGTCAATTCTTAGTGAGCCTACCAGCTGTGCACTCTACAGTAATCTTTGTTTGCATAAAATATGTTCCAGTGCCTGTAGTCCCTCAAGAGGAGAGATTCCTTTTTAGGCGGGTTTGCCCTAAGGACTACCATATGTTTCGGTGCATTGCACGTTATGGTTACAAGGATGTGAGGAAAGAGGATCATCTTTCGTTTGAGCAACTCTTGATGGAGAGCTTGGAGAAGTTCCTCAGAAGGGAGGCTCAGGAACTCGCTCTAGAGAGCGGGAGGGTGGAGATTGATTTAGAGAGTGAGAGTTCGGTTGGCAGTCATGATATTAGACCTAGAAGTGAAGGCAATGAGCTTTGGGTTCCTTTGATGGGTACTAGTGGGTTTGATGGAGGCTCATCGGTGGCTGAAGATTATGGGCTTGAAGTGGGCTCATCGATTGCTCGAGTGGGTCTTGGGCATGGGTTTGGGTCGGGACCATCTTTACCAACTACTGTGATACCGACCTTGGATGAGGACCCAGGACTCGAATATGAGTTATCGGCTTTAAAGGAGGCGAGGGACTCAGGGATCACCTATTTGCTGGCACATGGGGATGTGAGGGCAAGGAAGGACTCGTGGTTTTTTAAGAAGCTTGTGATAAACTATTTCTATTCTTTCATGAGGAAGAATTGCAGGGCTGGGACCGCCAACATGACTGTGCCTCACATGAACATCATCCAGGTTGGCATGACATACATGGTATGATACAAGATAAATGTCTTAACATAAACATAAATGGCATCACATTCATGGTTCCGATTCAAATTTGGTGGTTATGAAACTAAATTTAACATCTTGGGTATTGCCTCTTAGTATGGAGCTGTGTTTTGAACATTTTGGGGCTTGAGTCTGTAGCTCACTTGAATGTGTTTCTTGTTGCAACCTAAAGGCTATTAATTTATAATTAACCAAAAAGGAAACTAGTGCAGCATTTGTAAATCGGTTGCAATCAAATGGTTGGCAGCTCTTACTTCTTGTCTCGGATATTTTGTATTCCTTATGATATGTTAGATTGACAAGCTGGATCTGTGATTGCACAATTTCCTTAGGAAATATGATTACCTAGAGTACAGTTTGTTTTCTCAAAATACACTTTCATGGGGTTGGTTAATTTGAGTAAAATAGTAAGTGAATGTAGGTATATGATGATCATGGATAACAAAGAAAATTCATGGGTTTTCAAAGCTTCTTGTTTCTTATCTAGAAAAGATGGACTGTGCTCCTATTCTATAGATATAGTGGTTATTTTGGTCAATGATTAGGGCACTTCAAGGGTTGTATTTTATTGAAAGAATTGGAATCATTTTTTGGTATTCATGTACTCTTACCTAAAATTCATTTTGATGTTCATTTCATGGGCAGTAGAGTTAAACAACTGGTCTCACAAAAAACACAAGGTGATCATAAAGGTTGCCAACAACTCATCCACCCACTGCATAAATGATGGATGTGGGGTGGGAATACACCATTCCAAACTCCTATTGGACATGGAATAAATGTGAGGTATATTGAATATTTGAGAATGGGCTCGGGCCTTGTCGGTAGTACTGTTAAACCTTATGATGATATCATTGACTCCATTCTTATCAAAGTGTAACGGCCCAAATCTCTATTGACTTACCCTTTATTTTAAGAATGGGCTGGGGCTTTTTTGGTAGTACTGTTGAACTCTACTCCATTCTCACCAAAAGGTAGGGGTCTAAATTCCCACTTACTTTTTTTTTAGAAACGGGGTTGGGGTCGTAGTGGTAGCATCCCCATCCTTAGTTACCACATTGTGGTTTTTCATTCTTACCACTAATACCATTCCATTAATACCTGTAAAAATCTAACTCAATCTACTTAAAAAAATGGGTCGGGGTTTATCTTTTCCATTGAATTACAAAAAAAAAAAAAAGAAAAAAAAAAGAAGAAAAAAAAGAAAAAAAAAAGATAAGAGAGTGGGAAAAATCGTTATTTCACGTCATGAGGCCCCGAAATATCTCTCATTGTCAAACCCATTGATTAGACATTATCCTCATGAAGATTAGGTTGTTCTTTCCTGAGATGGTGAAAAAATACAAAACACGCGAGCTACATGATTCCATCGTGTACTGTAATCTTTTTGAAACTTAGAAATTGTTTGTTTTTGGATTTCATTGTAACAAAATTTTGGCAGTATCCCCATAATCATAGTCAATTTTCTGTAAGTATATCAGAAAAACTTCGAATTTCGGCTAAAACATTGAAGGTAGAGATCCGGTTTCAGAGTTATAGGGAGAAGATATAAAATTAAATATAAATGAAAAGCACAAAGGGCATAGATGCACTAGATGGTCTCACTTTTTTTGACCCAACTTTGTAGAAATTTTGAGATGACATTGGTCCCAGTTAGTGTACTCATAACAATAGAGAAGATAAAGAAAATGCTATTGTTGATTTCTTTAAAAGAGCTTGCACTTCTCAGCCAAGACTTCCTTTTTCTTTGGAAGGCTTGCCTTTTAAGAAGTTTGATGATGACAAAGCTTTAAGCTTTGAAAACCCTGTCTCTAGAGGAAACTAAGGAAGCAGTTTTGTCATTTTCAAGAGATAAAGCACCGGGGTCTGATGGTTTTCAGATAGCTTTCTTTTAAGAGTTTTGAGAAATTTTAAAAGATGACTTGTTTTGATTCTTTATGGAATTTCATGCAAATGGGACATTGAATAAAGTGGTTAATTCGACATTCATTGCTCTGGTCCCAAAAAAAAAGAATTTGGAAGTGCCTAAGACCTAAGACCCATTAGTCTTTTGACTTAATGCTATAAGATTAGGGCTAAGGTTTTAGCTAATAGGCTTAAAAAAGTCAATTCCCTTGTGGTTCAAGGGCCCCAATCAACTTTTATTGAAGGCTGACAAATTATTGACAATATTCTTGTGGGGCACCATTCCACTAGACTTGAGGGAAGTAAAGGTATTCTGTGCAAAACTGACTTTGAAAAGGTGTATGACAAAGTGGAATGAGATTTTTTGGATGACATGTTATGTCTGATGGGTTTTGGCTCTTTATAGAGAAAATGGATTAAGGGTTGCCACTCATCTGTTCATTATTCAATTCTTATCAATGGCAAAGCTTATGGGTATTTTGAGGCATCAAGGAGCCTCTACTAAGGGGACCCATTATCGCCCTTCCTTTACACTCTAGTTGGGGAGTCTTTCAACCTCATGATGTCTTCGACAGTAAGGGATGGTCTCTTTGATGGGCTTAGGATTCACCGTTATGAAGAACCTATTTCTCATTTTCAATATGCAGATGACACTCTTCTCAGCCCTTTAGCCAACGTGGACTAGGTACAAAATTTGTGGTTGTTTCTAAAATGTTATGAATTTATATTAGGGGCAAAAGTAAATATGCACAAATCCAAACTCATAGGAATTAATTGTGAGATTCAGAGTTGGATTACTGAGTAGCATGGTTGGGTTGTGAGGTTGAAGCTCTTCTCGCTAAATACCTCGGTGTCCCTTTGGCTGATGGCAAGCTTCTTACTTCATCTTGGGATCCTATTGTCGATAGATTTGAGTATAAACTTGATGGGTTGAAGAGAAGATGCCTTTCTTTTGGGGTTAGAAATACTCTAATCAATTCCACTCTAGCCAATACACCTGTGTACTCTCTTTCGATGTTCAGAGCACCGGTAGCAGTGATCAAGAAGCTAGAATCTCTGATGCGAAACTTTCTTTGGAGTGGATCCCCTCTGCCTAAAAAATATAACTTGGTTTGATGGGAAAAGGTTTGCAGACCAAAGAAAGGTGGAGGCTTTGGCATTCGTAGGCTCAGACATATGAATGATGCATTGCTTAGTAAATGGTGGTGAAGAGTCTTTAATCAACCTCATAGTCAATGGTAAGAGATAATTTTTGCAAAATATGGTATTGATGAGAATGAATTCATCCTAAAAAAATTGAAATCTAATACATTAGCTTCCATGATGTTGAAAGGGATTAATTCAATTCGATCATTGTTTTTGGTTTATAGCAAAATGAAGGTTGGGAATGGAGAAAAGACAAAATTTTGGCTTACTAAGTGGTTAGGTGATTTACCCCTTCGTTTTCAATTCCCAGAAGTTTATTGATGGGCTACTACAAAACGTGTTATGCTCTCTGATATGGTAGATGGTGAAGGGTTCAATTGTGAATGGAAGGTAAGAAGAGTGGACGAAGTAACTGAACATCAATTCATTGATTTGCTTCATAAGCTTAACGTTTTCTATTTTTTTCCTCAGAAACATGCTTCCTTGGTATGGGAACTGAATCCTAATGGACTTTTTTAGTAAGTTCTTTATATTATGAGGTAAGCAATAATAGGATTTTTTATGCAAGTAATAGAAACACCAAAGTGTGGTCTTTTAATATCCCAAAAGGGTTAGAGCCTTTTTATGGCTTTTGGAGCAAGTTAGGGTACTCACAGGAGATCTATAGATATGAGGGTGCATCCCTAGTGTGAGGGAGCATCCAAGTGGACCACACTCCCTTCATGTTTGACTTACGTTACAACATGAAAGGAGGTGGGGAGAGGTTGCACCTCTTCATGAGGGGGTTACCCCCCATGAATGGAATGCACCATGCACCATAAGGGTGCCCATTCATGAGGAGGTTACTCCATCATGAATGAGAGGGCCCTTTCTTTCATTATAAAAAAGAGATGGGTGAATGTCTCTACACACCCCATAACGCACACATGAGAAATGTGTGAGAAGTGTGAGAGCTCCTATTGTGAGAGTCGAGCTAGGACTGCTCCTATCGTATTTTGTGAGAGTGTTCGTGAGCTTCCACCTAGCTCAATATTTATGGTGTGGAACAGATTTCAACTGCTCTAGTAGTTATTGAACGTGCCTACAGGAGTTGATCAATCCTCTCCACAAACGTTCATCAAAATTGTTGTGCAAGCACTCAGGTATGATACCTGGCTCCCGGTTGTTTTATTTTGCTTCCGCTTCAGTTGCTGGACCTTATTTTCATTTTTCCAACATTGGTATTAGAGCCATCGTGGAACCGGGTTCCCAATTATGCCGGCATTATCGTTCCTGCCTTACATGTGAAGACTTGGCGATGGTTGGCCTATGATGCTGCAAAGTGCACATGATGGTTATATTAAGACCATATGCATGTGCATCATGTAACCTTATTACTGACCACATAGTCATGTTGGCCTTATGCATGGGCTATGCAAGTTGAGGCATCCTAGACCATGAGCATCATGACAAACTAATTTTGGTAGGCTTCATATGCTAAGCTGTGCATGGTGGGCCCTACTCATTGTTTTTTGGCATTTTAAAGCCGCATAAAAGGGCATTTTTTTTAGTGGGAGTGGATCTAGGAAGGTGCACCGCTTGCAAATTATGAGATATTTTAGATGCTAGATCCAAGAAAGAAACTTGATATTGATTACAAGTAAGAGTTCAATGTGGCCATGTGAAATTTTCATATCAAGACTTTTAAGAGTCAAGTTTTTTCAAGAAGTTAGACAATTAACAAGCGTAAAAATGATAATCTAAGTGCAACCATATATCAAACAAACCATGAGACATCCATATTAATTGGTGCAATTTTGTTGTTTTGACTTAGAATGATTTTTAAAAATGTGATCGTGGATCTTACTAAAGGTAAAAAGTTGAGTGGGAGCAATTTTCCTATGTGGCATAGGAAAATGCAATACCTTCTAAATGAGCAAAAACTTGAACAAGGTGCCGCTGAAGAACTAGTATGTGAGTGTGCGGCATGGGACAATGCTGACCGTAGCACTTGCTTTACTTTGCTAAGTGTTATGGTTGATGACCTCATTCGTGAATTCGAGGTATTCACCACGGCGAAGGCCATGTGGAATGCGCTTCAGCAGAAGTATGCTGGCACTTCCGCGGCTCGGTTACGAGCCTTATCTATGGCTTCTGAGACATACAAAATGCCTCCAAATGTGTCAATGACAGATCATATCCAAAAAAGTCTCAAATGATACGTGACCTAGAGGCCGTTGAAAACAATCTCAGTCACGAGCAACAAATGCTCGGATTGCTTAGGTCTCGTCAA